CACACACATATATATATATATATATATATATATATATATACACACCAGAGGTCTCGTTAACCGAAAATTTTCCGTCATTGACAATGTTTTTAGCAGTGACGGAAAAATCTGAAGGCCGTCCGTCACTTTGACAGATTACACTGAGGGTGATCTATTGTAATTTATAACTGTAATTCCCACCCCTGTCCAGTTGGTGGCGCGTGCGCTCCAGTGTGGCAGCAGAGTGCGGGATCATCAGCTCCAGAACAAAACTAAAAACACCAATCTTTTGCTATGCCTTTGATTACGCACAGGCGAGTATCCACTAGTAAAGCCAAAGAGATGATCAGTTCACGTGCGCTGCCGCTTCGCTTGATCTGAGCTACAGCGATCTATCACGCCACATTAAAGAGCGCCAAAACGGTATTTATTGCTTGAATTTCTTAATAAAATGGACAGAATTTAAAAGTGTCAAAAGTAACAACGCACAAAGCTTAGCCAATTGCGATTTACTGGATGGGGAGGTTTTCATAGTGCATATGTACGGTTCATTCATCAACTGAAAACTGAACTGATTGGGATTTAAGAATCGATATTGGTTTATAAAAATGAGAATCAATTAAAATCGAGAAGTCTATTTTTTTTCCCCAGCCCTAGCATATTTTGTTGTTTTTAGTGGCCTCTGCTGTCACTGTGGGGTGTGATGTTGAACATGAAAAGGGATGCACAGCAGGGCTCGCAAAATCGCTAGCCCGACGTCCCGGGGCTATTGTGTTTTCCAGTCAGGCTACCAAAATGTATCACCGCCCTGCCCGACGGGCTATCTTGAACAGTGATATAAAATTCCTAACTTGATTCGCGTTTGTTCACTCGCTTGTAGGGGTGAAACGGATCGCAGTGTATTGTTTGCACTTGCTTCTACTGTAAGTCTTGCCAATTTAAACATTCAAGCGTTTTAAAACATCCACGCGCATCCGGAGCTAGCGTGCTGGTTTATGCGCTCACTCATTCAAAGCAGTTTCAGACAATGCGCGTACACAGAATTGATTCCTCTTTCGCGTATCCTTGCTTCTGAATGAAAACATACACACAAAATTATCTCAAAATAACTGTCACGGCAAGTATTCTCGAAAACACAGTCAGTTATGTCTTAAGTGAGTGTAAACAGTGGAGAAAGAAATCTCCTGTGCATCATTATATTGGATCCGTGCATTCGGCCTTAAAGGGGCAGCAGCCTATAAATACCTGCGGTTCCATTAGTGCCACCTGCTGTCAGAGAGTGACATTTGCGTCTCATTCACAAAGCTAAAATCAGACCATTCTGTTTTTGCTTCAAATTTTTAAATTATACAATCCAAATAACATGTATTTAGCATCTTTTTTGGATAGTAATTCAAATGCATTGGTTGCCTCTGATTTTAAATAGAGCACAGGCAAAGCCTTTGTTTATATGAAGAGATTTCTTTTAGTTGTATAATTTATTTGATTTGGGATTTGTTTTAAAATTTCAAGTTCGTTTTATTTAAAATGTCAATTTCACAAAGAAATATGCCGCATTTTGTCATTAAAGCTGCCTTAAAACTGTGCATGCATGTAATATATTTTATATGAGTCACATTTAAGAACATGTCTCTGAAATGGTTTTCAAAACTGTCCTGGAGCAGCCCAGCAATGTCTCACTCATCTAACACACCCGATTTAACTCGTCAGCTCATTAATTGAGACTTTAAGACCTGAAGTGGGTCAGAAAAGGTAAAAAGAGTTGAGAGAAAATATGATGCGTGTCAGATCCGCGTCAAGTTCAGCAGCGGCAGCTCTTAAAGAAATAGCAGCCAAAACAACCTAATAACCAGCTGCTGTGATGTCTGGTAATCAAAGGACAAAGAAAAAAAAAGAGGAAAAATAACTTTTATAGCTTTATGGATTCATCTTTTTAATTTAGAATTTGGTGTTTGATAACTTTCAATTTCTGTATATTTCTGCTGAAGGGCACGGGTAAATATGACATTTATTATAATGGGTTTATGTGAAGATTGTTTTAAGTTCACTTAAATTAGAAGTTATTTTTTAAAGTCTAATAAAGGTTAAAATTGATAGCTCTCAATTATACTATAATGTTGAATGGCTATAGTCAATGGTTAAATATGGGGGGGGGGTCAATTTTATAGAGAAATCAGTATTGGTATCACTGATACTGGCTTTCAGTCATAAAAAAGATGCCATTAAACAAATATAACAAAAATATACTGTCTTTATGTTGTTTGTACATTAATTTGAAGATTGAATGTGAAATTATTGCAATATAAAAGTATATTTCAAAACTTTAATGTTAGGTGGGATTAATCGCGATTAATTTCATACAAATTTGCAATTAATTAGTTACATTTTTTTAATCGATTGACAGCACTGTTATAAATAAATTGTAAGAAAACTGTATCGTGTAATCTGTATCGTGAATTTTATCGCATCGCAAGTTTAGTGAATTGTTACATCCCTATATGCTACTAGTTTTTGCTGATCATGCTGATTTGTCCCCAGTAAAGTTCAGCCGATGTCTTTTTTTATTCGGGCTAGTTAAATTCATTTTGGGCTACCAAAACCTGAAGAATGCCTGCCTGAAGGGCTACCAGGGATTTTGAAATTTTGCGAGCCCTACACAGTCTCTGTTCATCTGTTCTCATCATAAATAAATAAAGCCTATGTGGTTGTACTGTAGGTTCATTATTAAAAATGAAAATGTGAACAAAAATGCAAGCAATTAAATGTGTTATTATAATTAAAATATGAAAATTAAAATGACTGGTAATAATAGATTATGATGGAATTTTTACGACCCTGTCCGTCAAAATGACGGACAATGTTAAAGTCTTAAGCAACCTCTGATATACACACACACACACACACACACACACACACACGTTATAAGCACTTCAAATAAAAAGCATGAGCATTTTCTTTGGCAGATGCATGTGCTGTTTAATGCCTCTGACAAGTGTTTTTCTTGGCATTGCAACTTGCATAGAAAGATACAATACAATATATATATGCATTTTATAACAACAATAAAATTATTACAACAAATTAAATAACTTTATATTTTGATGGATAAAGACAAACAACATGATTTAAGTGTGTGAATTAATAACTGATTTATTTTTGATTTTGGCAGCTTCTCCTCCAAACACACAGGAATTCACCAGCAGTTCAGCTCCTCCCACAACAGTTTATGAAAGAAAGTCGAAAACATGACTGATCCAGAACCCTGCAGAATAAAACAGGAAGATACTGAACAACAAATAGGTTGGTGTATATTCTTCATTCTTCAGTAAGGTTATAAAACTTCAAGCAGTTCATCAGATTCAGTGGTTGCAGTTAGAAAAATCATAAAGTTGTGAAATAGCAGTTAAAGCTGCAGTAAAGAAAAAACGTGAAGTTACGAGTTTCAGTGGTTCATTGTTTTGATGATTACATTGAGTTGAGGCACAGCTATTTAGCATGGATGAATATGATAGATTGTGGCATACTGGCACCTGTGGTTAAAGGCATTAACAGTGCATAAGTTGCTTATGCCGTCAAAACTTGCCCCTCCAAAAAGAAAAGACATGCATATGAGACATAATATGAGCCAGTATTTTCTGTTGTTTTGAAAACAGTTGTTTGAACATAAATAACATCACAAAAGTTAGGAAATGCAACTCTCTATACACACCTTGGCAATAGAATCCCCATTGGCTAGTAAATGTTTAGTTTACTCGCCAGACTAGCACACAAACACATATAGCATATGAGCTTATCTTCATTCAAGGGTTAGTTCACCCAAAAATGAAAATTAGCCCATGAAGTACTCACCCTTAAGGCATCCTAGGTGTATATGACTTTCTTCTTTCAGACGAATCCAATCGGAGTTTATTAAATATTTATTACATTATGAAAAATATTAAAAATGGTCTTTGATTTTCCAAGCTGTTTAATGGCAGTCAGCGGGTGTTGCAGTTCAAAACCTGCTCCACAAGTGTTCAAGTGTCCCGCTTTTTCTAAGGGAAAGCAGCTCCGCCCCATGTGCTCTACCATTCTCTTTCTCTCAGGAGTCTAAGATGAGGAAACAGTGGAGTCGCTGGGCTGAATGAATGGGCCTGATTGAGCTCACCCTAGCCCATATACCGCAAGCCTCACTTTTCCTACAGCAAGGGGATTCGGTTTGGTCTCTTTGAGGGTTCAGAGGAGGACTTTGCTAATAAAACTACTGTTATTGACAGCTTCTATGCAGAGGAATAGTTGGACATCATGGAGGACTCTACCCCTACAGCCAAAGGAGCTTTTTTTTTTTTTTTGCCTTTTATGTGATAGGACAGTGGAGATTTGACCGGAAGTGAGTGGGAGAGAGAGAGAGGGGGATGGGATCAGGAAAGGTCTGTCAGCCGGGATTTGAACTCGAGATGCCCAAAGTGCAACCGTGTCATATATCGGCGTGCTGCCCATGAGGCTCTCGGCGGTGACACCTTTGGCTGAATTTAACAGAGCTTAAGGGTGCCAATAAGTCGGCCCTCCTCAACTGCCCTGTTTTTCCATCGGGACTATTAGTTCTGCTTTGGATGGCTTTGCTGAATGTTTCACAGCAAGAAATCATCACAAGTGGTGCACCATTTCCTTCCTTAATGGCTACTTTTCCGGTCTCAAGTCAGCCCAAGCTGTCATTTACTCAGCAGCACTCCAGGCCAGCATCGACACATGCTCAGCCCCAGCCTAACGCTTCATGGTGGCTCAGAAGTCATCACAAGTGATGTGTCATTCCAAACCAAGTGAGCCAATTCTTTTGATGTTTCCAGTCACCCCAAATTATCTTGACTCAGCAGCACTCTATACCATTGTCAGTGCCTGCGCCAAGGTAGAGGCAGAACCTGAAGTGAAAAAAGGCTTCTCTACAGCTAAGTGCTATCCCTTCCAGAGGCGCCAGAGGCCCTACCCTAAGCTAGAGCTGGACCCTGAGTAGCCCCAGCAGCTTTGATGCTCCAAAACCGAGGAGGTTAATTTCCGTCGAGGTTGGACCATCCTCAAAATCCCTCACTTTGGGGCATGGTTTTCACTTTGGTCTCGGACATGATGCCAATGTTCTCCGAGCCAAAGTCCAAAACTTGTTAGCAAAAGGTGCTGTTGAGAGAGCCCGGGCCGCAGCAAGCTTTTACAGCCACTACTTCTTTATTCCAAGAAGGATGGCGGCCTCAGGCCCATGCTCGATTTGAAACATCTGAACTGCACCCTGATAAAGCAGCCATTTGGAATGCTACACTTGAAGCAAATCTTCTCGCAAATCCACCCAGGGGATTGGATTTAATGGGGAATCTGAAAGATGCATAATTTCATATTCAAATAGACCCCATCACAGACCATTCTTGAGATTCACCTTTGAAAGGGTGGCTTACCAATATACAGTCTTACAGTCTGTTACATCCTGGACTTTGTCCATGGTACTTAAGGCTCTATGAGGCCCTTTTTTTGAGCTGCTCAAAACTACCAACCTTCGGTCTCTCTTGATAAAGACTGCCCTCCTGCTGGCTTTGGCTTCAGTCAAGTGAGTGAGCAACTTGCAGGCTCCTTCAGTGGACACGTCCTGCCTTGAGTTTGGACCTAATAACAGTAAATTTGTTCTTTTGCTGAGAATAGACTATGTGGCTAAGGTGCTTTCAGCCCCTTTCAGGGCACAAGTTATTACTCTCTCTGCTCTTCCTCCCTTCTTTAGTAAATAATGCAATGCTCATTCCCGTTATCTCAGGGAACCAGGGAACATTAGTTACCAGTATAGTTTTCTTTTACTTGTTGTTTTCAACAATTTAATGGTGGTTTGTGAAACGTTCATACTGATTGCAAACACCAGGAGGTCAGAATAAATATTATCTGAATGGTTTCATTTTTATATCTATTTATATCTAGTTCACGATTTTTTAAACCATATTTTTAAAATGTTACAACTCTGACTTGTAAAAAGTTAATCAAACAATTAGTAATAGTTCTCACTACAAAGCCTGTGCCTGTCACAAAGTTATGAACTTCTTTGTTGTGTTACTTTCAGTTCCTGTTCTCCTGCACAATTTAGTTCTGATCAGCTCCTCATTAGTTTCCTTGGTTACTTATTACACTCAGGTGTTTCTGTTTCATTAACCCCATTATTTATACTCCGTGCTTTGTTCAGTTCCTTTGCTGGTTATTTGTTATTCTTACGTTTGTTTGTGCTACACCTGCCTTGTTTGCTCTTGGATTTATAATTAAAAGACTTTTGTCGATTTCTCTCCTTCGTTGTGCGCTCTTTACAGCACCAGCATGTTACAGTGCCTGCAATGTTTAAAAAATAATAATTGCATAATAAGTGTACCCAAATGAATGCATCAACATATTTATACTCTCTGCTATTTTCTCGGGTTTCACATGTCTTTTTCCTTTCATAATTTTTTCTTTCGATGTTTAATGAGAACGTTTTTTAATGACATTTTTATTGAGCTTTTTTACTTTAATTTTAGACCTGATAGAAGAGAACAAGGAGATTGACGAACTGATTGAAGAGGGGGAGAACCATCATGTCAAAACTGAAGAGATATCCTGGAGTTCCTCATTTAAAAGAGGAGACAAAATATGGCCTCAGTGTGGAAAGAGTCCCTCATGCAAGCAAAATCTTGATATTCACATAAAATGTCATCTTGAAAGGAAGCTGTACACATGTAATCAGTGTGAAAAGACTTTCACAATAAAAGGAAACCTTACGAAACACATGAATATCCACACTGGGGAGAAGCCATACACATGTGGTCAATGTGGGAAGAGCTTCAGACTAAAAGTAATCCTTAAAAAGCACATGAATTTTCACGCTGGGGAGAAGCCGTACATATGTGGTCAATGTGGGAAGAGCTTCAGACTAAAAGCTACCCTTAATGAACACACGAGGATCCACACTGGAGAAAAGCCATACACATGTGATCAGTGTGGGAAGAGTTTCACACAAAAAGGATACCTTGATGCACACCTAAAAACCCACACTGGAGAAAAGCCGTACACATGTGATCAGTGTGGGAAGAGTTTCACACAAAAAGGATACCTTGATGCACACCTAAAAACCCACACTGGAGAGAAGCCGTACACATGTGATCAGTGTGGGAAGAGTTTCACACAAAAAGGATACCTTGATGCACACCTAAAAACCCACACTGGAGAAAAGCCATACACATGTGATCAGTGTGGGAAGAGTTTCACACAAAAAGGAGCCCTTAATATACACATGAGGATTCACACTGGAGAGAAGCCATACACATGTAATCAGTGTGGGAAGAGTTTCAGACTTAAGCAACCCCTTAACGATCACATGAGGATCCACACTGGAGAGAAGCCGTACTCATGTAATCAGTGTGGAAAATGTTTCAGAAAATATAGTGGTTTTAAAAAACATCTGCTTGTTCATTCTAGAGAAAGACTAGATAATCGTGACCAAAGCAGTAAAACATTTTTTAGGGCAGATTTCCAGAAGAACCACCTGAAAGTTCATACAAAGGAGAGGCCTTATGTATGCTATTTATGTGGAAAGAGTTTTAGTCAGATGGTTGCACTAAAGATACATCAGAAAAGACACAGCGGTGTGAAGGATCATGTTTGCTCTGAATGTGGAAAGACTTTCGTTACGTATGGTGCACTGAAAGTGCACAAAACAGTTCACACTACAGAAGCAGCTTACAAGTGTTCCCACTGTGACAAGAGATTCAAACGGACAGAATATCTGAGAATACATGAGAGGATCCACACTGGAGAGAAGCCGTACACATGTGATCAATGTGAGAAGAGCTTCAGACTTAAAAAAATGCTTAATCAACACATGAATATCCACAGTGGAGAGAAGCCTCACACATGCGATCACTGTGGGAAGAATTTCACACAAAAAGGAAACCTTAACAAACACATGAAAATCCACACTGGAGAGAAGCAACACACATGTGATCAGTGTGGAAAAACTTTTGTGCATAAAGGAAACCTTAAAGACCACATGAATATCCACACTGGAGAGAGGCCACACACATGTGATCAGTGTGGCAGGAGTTTCGCACATAAAGGAAACCTCATCAAACACCGGAAAAGACACACTGGGGAGAAGCCACACACATGTGATCAGTGTGGGAAGAGTTTTGCAGAAAAGGCAACCCTTAATGAACACATGAGGATCCACACAGGGGAGAAGCCATACACATGTGATCAGTGTGGGAGGAGTTTCACACAAAGAGGAACCCTTTATGAACACATGAAAACCCACAGTGGAGAAAAGCCATATACCTGTGATCAGTGTGGGAAGAGTTTCAAGCGAAAAGAAGGCCTTAATGAACACATGAAAACCCACAGTGAAGAAAAGCCATATACCTGTGATCAGTGTGGCAAGAGTTTCAAGCGAAAAGAAGGCCTTAATGATCACATGAAAATCCACACTGGAGAGAAGCCGTACACATGTGATCAGTGTGGGAAGAATTTCACACAAAGAGGAACCCTTTATCAACACAAGAAAACCCACACTAGAGTGAAGCCATACACGTGTGCACAATGTGGGAAGTTTTTCAAAAATTCAAGTTTTTTAAAAGTGCACCTGCGTACTCATTCTAGAGAAAGACAATATAACTCTGACCAGTGCAGTAAAAATAATTTCAGGGCAGATTTCCGGAAGAGCCACCTAAAAGTTCATACAAAAGAGAGGCCTTGCATATGTAATTTATGTGGAAAGAGTTTTAGTCAGATGGTTGCATTAAAAATACACCAGAAGAGACACAGTGATGTGAAGGATCATATTTGCTCTGAGTGTGGGAAGGCTTTTTTTACTGATAGTGAAGTGAAACAGCACCAAACTGTTCACACTACAGAAACACCTTACAAGTGTTCACACTGTGACAAGAGATTCAAACGGTCAACACATCTACAAATACATGAGAAGATCCACACTGGAGAGAAGCCGTATCACTGCCATTCATGTGGGAAGAGATTCACTCAATTATATTCTTTAATCTGTCATAAATTACATGTCTGCATGTCTGAAATTACAGTAAGTAGTTCAAGTTCTGATCCTGTACTTACAGGTATGATAGATGGTAGGTAGGGCTGCATTAAGTAATTATTTTGATAAATTATTAATCAGAGATTATTAGAATGATTAATCAACTAATTTTTGATTATTTCACAGATTAATCAGTAGCTTTTATTATTTTTTTGACTTTTTAGTTAAAATGTTGAGTTATACCCATTCTAACTGATAAATAAAATAAGGGAATCGCAAGTTTTTGAAAATGTCTTTTTAATAAACTGAGTAAACTGAATTACTGTCCTCTTCAGATATTTTGTCCTCCGACGAAGTCATCAATACACCAACTTTGCTTAGAACTGAAACACAAAAACAAAAGGGCATTACACAACACATAGGAGGCTAAAATATTAATCATTCATTAATTTAGAACCCTTTGTGAGTGGTTTGGCGAGTAATCTTGAGAACACTGAGACTTTAGTCTAGTTTGAGAGCGTAGGCTGGCAGCTCATGCTGACATCAGCAGAGGATCCTCCACACTGGATACTAGTCTTGTCCAATCCAAGATGGATCCAGGGGTGGCTATGACAGCTGGAATATATGCTGGGCCAAGCTCTGTGGGGGAAGTTTAGGGGATGGTTCCTCCATACCTGTCCTACTGTGAAAGGAGATCCACGCAGCTGTTGGGCCAAGTCCATATATTGAGCCATAATCCACCTGGGATCACCCCTAGCATCAGTTGGCTGATATAGCTGTCCAGTCTGCCCCAAAAACGGTGCATTAAAATTACTTTCGTCAATGGTGAGAGGTGAGAATACGAATTACAACAAAAAAACTCTTGGGGAGGTCATCTTGAAAAATTGAACAAAGAGTGCTCAGACAGAGCCGATTACCCCTGACTAGATCCATTGTGGGTCAGTTGTTCTGTAAGAAGGACTGGAGAAATCAGGCTGAGGCGAGGATCTAAATGCAGGGGAACATTTAATAAACTGACAGGAAAATGCCAGTGACCTGTTGCACGAAGTGAGATGAACAAACTCTTGAGTTTCAGAGTAGGTTTAGAGTTGACAAAACCAAACCAATCGAACCTGGTTTAGATCAGGATCAGCGAGCTCACAAAGCTTGACATAAATGTTCTCTGTCAACTCAGAGTTTGAACCAGAGTTTGTGATTAACTCTGGTGCACTTGCACCACTTGAACGTGGAGAGCATCAGCAAAGCGTCAAACAAAAAAGCATCAGCAAACAAAAAAGTTTGAGAAGGTAGCAGAAAGAAAATCTATGACTATGCAAAGGAATCAACTGAATTTAATCATTTATATACGTTCACACAGAGCTCAAATTATAGGAAAACATAGGTTTAGTCATTTTAAAAGTTGGATATATTAAAGCTTATCTGTATGTATCTATTTAATTTAGTTTAAATGCAAAGCTTAAAATTAATTGCCACTTCATATAATAATTATATGAATATATTATATGAATTATAAACAGTTACAATTAATATAAATATAATAAGTAGCCACAAAAGTCAGGCCATTTTGTCTCTAAAATTCTAACTGCATTAATTTGGAGCTAGAGATACGGGTGAGTGGCTTCATTGCATCAGATATGTCACTTTGCTCGCAGCCGATTGGTCCAGTTTGGATTTGCTATCTCTAACCCAGAATAAAACCTGCTCCGGAGCAGGGTAGCTGTGTAACCAACCCATCTTCTTGAGCCCGAAAAGTCAGAGTTTGCCCAAACTAAACGCAAACTTACCTGGGTAAAAACTTAAACCGGCTTTGTGCTACAGGCCACAGAGAATAGCATGTAAGTACTCCAAAAAACTAAACAACTTTCAAAGCACAGAAGAAAAGCCTATATATACAGAAGAGGACAAGTTAACAAGGGGGAGTGGTTGATTTGAGCAACAGGAGCAGGGAAAACACTTCAAAAATAAACCTTTAATGTATGTATTGGATTTTTTTTTTTTTTGTATGGCCTTGATCAAACCGATGTCTGTTAATTCATGAGCATCCATCTTTCCATAAAATGGTAGTGACACACAGGGCCAGATTAAGAACACATTGGGCCCTGGGGCTATAGCAAACCCAAGGGCCCCCTTTATCTTATTGCGACGCCAAAGTGTCTTCTACCACAATTTTGCTATTATTATTATATTTAATTTTCTACTATTTGATTTTAATTTTATATTTAATTGTTATTTTAAATATTCAAATTATTTTATCTAATTTTCTATTATTTTAATTTAATTTTACATTTAATTAATATATTTAATTTCTATTTTGTATAAGTACAAGTTCACATACTAAATTTTCCAACAAACAGGTTGCCAAAAATCAGCAAAAACATTTGCAATCATACTTCCTAAATGAGTAGGCCTACTTTACAAAATATTTTAAATAGGGTTTTACTGTTAAAAAGTCTTCTTTAGAAATTTAGCTGAGCAGAAATCCCTAATGATAGCGTTAAAATCCATGCTTCATGTCGCATGGTCGTCTTTCTTGCCCCATTGATCACCGCAAACGAGACTTGAGAAAAGATCACTTTGAGAAGGAGCACTCTCCTAACGCATTTGTTACTGGCAAGGTGAGATATATTTTCAAGGCTATGTCCACATTTGGAAAAACATTTTGAAGGTCCCTTGCTCTTATTTCTCGCAGCAATTCTCTGGCTGATGCTGTCTTTTCTTTTTTGCAGAATGCTTTAAATGTACAATCTCGTCTGCAAAATCTTCCTGTAAGTCTGTATTGTACTTCTGTTGTAATTTAACACAAGAAGAATCAAGTTCTTGATCGGAGAGAATATGAATATTATTAAGGAATGAGAAAAGGTTAGTTATCTCTTTGTATGATTCACTTCTTCTGTCAAGCTCTGCTGTAAGGCGGTCATTTATCACATAAAAAACATCTGCAATAAACTGTCTACCAGACAGCTGAAAGTCCTGATGAAATGTATCTGGTTCATCTGCATGTTTTTTACATGTTCGCTTTCTCTGGTAAAGCGAACACGTAAATAGTAGGTGACATTTCTTGCACTGCTGTTTCAAAACTGTCAAACTGGTCTCTCAAACTTGCAACGAAGTCCTTTAAAGATGCAACCAAATCCACAGCTTTGGAGAGATCAAGGTCAATGTCTTGTAGGACTTTACTAGTTGCATCAAATCGCTGAAGTATGCAATTCCAGTATTTGCAAAGGAGCATTTCCCAATTTGTCCATTTGCTTTGCCAGCATTCTAGCTTCGTTAAGCGTGGATCAATTCTGATCGTTGTCCTCAGACAAATCAATCAAAGATCGCTGAATATTTGCATAGTTGTAGCACAGTTCTTTTGTTGCTGAGGCATGCGCGGACCAGCTAGTGTCTGACGGACTTTATCTTCTCAATTTGCTTGTTCTCATTTGCTTCGAGACCACTGGTAAGTACCTGCCATCGCGAGGATGATCGGGAGCAGCAAATAAACAGTGTATGCACAAATGTAAAGAACTCGTTCATTTCAAAGCAGCAATTCACTGTGTTGATTCCTACTAAATTAAGTGTGTGTGTGCTGCGCAAGGCACCCATTCTGCCAGCGGATTTACCTCCCGAATGCGTGACTGTACACCCTTATAAACCCCTGACATGTTGCTTGCATTGTCATAACACTGTCCGCGACAATTGTTTGTCAATTCCCAGCTCATTCAATACAGTCATCACAGAGTTAAAAAGTGATTCCCCTGGGTGGCTTGTAATGGGAAGAAATTCAAGGAAGCGCTCCTCTATATTTCCCTCGGGAGAAAGGTATCTGGTGTGGAATCTACGCTTATAGAAAAGTACTAAGCTAATTTTATTTTATTGACAATCTGATAAAATTTTCTCCCATCAATTTGACAATTTCTTCACATATTGTACTAGACAGGTAGGATGGATTTCCTCTCCCAGCATTTCCAAAGCGAGCTAAATGTTCCGGCAGAAATGGATCGAATTGAGCAATGAGTTCAACTATTCCCATATAATTACCGTTATTGGGGGAATTGAATGTCTCAGTATCACCCCTGAACGACAGACCACGCTCAGCCAATGTTATTGTAGCTACAACCCTTTTCAGCACATCCTCCCAGTACTGACACTCCAATTTGAACTGGTCCCTTAGGCCCGCATCAATCTGCCCCTTTTCAGATGTCCTTGACACCCAAGTTACCATGCACTCTCTGTGTTGTTCGGAGTGCTCATGATCAGGAATGCAACTGTGCACATGTTTCCAGTCACTGTATCCAGACGGTCCAGAAAATGGTGAAATGCCGCCAAACAGTCTGCAAACAAAATACAGACCCTTTGGTTGGAGAGTACAGAAGCCAGTCACGTGGAACAGACTCACCATTCGCTAGTTTTCGACTGAAAAAGCTCTTTGAAAATGTCCGCTTTTGGTGTTTATATTGTTTTTCAGAAGCATAAAAATCACAACTGCGATTCTGACATGGCACTGGTCCATTTCCGATCCAATAATTTTGGCCTTGTGAGTCAATTACAGCAGGCCAGCATCCTGGGTCAGTACTGTAGATGTCATTTTTCCCTGCAGTTTGATCAGATATGTTGTCTGATGTAAGAGTCGGCGCCAATATTTCATAGTGCCCCGGAATATTACTGTCGTTTTTATCTAAAGGGGCAGAGTAAACATTCAAAAAAATATTTGCTTTCTAACTGGTTATAAGAACAATAACTTACTGCTGCTGCTAACTCGCCTTCAACATGTAAAGCACATGGATCTGCGATGGTGGGTGATGCTAAATATGTATTGCCGCTGCACTCGGGCACGAATGTTTTGTCCGAAAGTGAACCGAAGTAGTTCGTTTTGGAATTTTAGCTGTAAGATTAGCCTCATGTTTTTCCCTTTCAACTTTATTTCTCGTTTTTTGCGCACCACAGCACAGCAGCGAGCCAAGCGGAATACTTCACATTCTCGACATGTGAAAGTGTAACGCAAAGAGGCGTTTCCTGACATCATGGCGGATGGCGCAAATTGTAAAGTGATTTTGATTGAACGGTGAATTATATCAGTCAGGAATTTCCAAGAAAAAAACATTGTCTTATATTCGGGTCAATACGGTAGATACAAATCAACCACCTATATGAATTGTCAATCAATGATGTAAGGAAAGTTCCCATTTCCTCCATCCAATCAAGGGCCCCCTCCTTCTGCAGGCCCTGAGGCTTCAGCCCCACCTAGCCCTTATGTTAATCCGGCCCTAGTGACAGAAAGAAACAGGTTATTGCATAAGCATAAACCAGAAAGTGTAGCGTAAGGACGTGAAAAATTCCTGTGCACTAGAGGGTGACACGGGAGTGGATTTGGCTCAGATGGTGTCAAGCGTGTGTGGGTCAATTTACAGTTTTTCACTGTAAATTATACAATGACTTTTTCTTTTTCACTGCCAAAAACCGTAATTTTAGCAGTATTTTACTGTAAAATTACATTAAATGTAATTACAGTTATTCACCGTATATAGTATGGAAACTTACTGATAATCAATTAACAGGTTTTTATTGTAGCATTTTTACAGTCTTTTACTGTTAAAATCACAATAATTTTTTACAGTGCCGAGTTTTGAAGTTTCTCGCTCAAGTTCATAGACCGAGACGGTAGAAAGTGTATCCTGTTTGCTTGAATTATTTTACAGATGTGCAACGTTTCGTTGTTATTCTAAATTCACACAAATAAACATAGAGTCTTTACAGATTCGAAAGGTGTATTACTTTTATCTGTATGACCAAAAATTACGGAGTATTTTAAGAGCAAGAGAGCGCACCAGCGCCTCCATCTGTCCTGCAGTGAGCGCGCTTCTGTTCAGCTTCCACACAGACACTTGAATAGCGGACATTTCTCTAGGTTAACATTAGATTGAGCGGCCATGTAAAGTTGTTACTACATACATCTTTCAGATGAAAAGCCATATTTGAGGTAGATGAATGATAGGTGGGCGTTTGGATGTCCTACTAAAGATTTATTAACATTACTGTCGTATGAAGCAGGGTGGGGCTGAAAGCTGTGGGAGCGAAACAAGGCAGCTGGAGTGATTGCTAATGACAGATGAGCGAGAGTGGCTGAGCTTTTATTATGCCGCAGTCAACCGCTTCTGCTTCTTCTGGTCAAGTGGATAAAATATATAAAATACATAAAATATACTGTATGGTGGAGAAAATGTATTACTGTTACTGCAATTAAAGGTGCATCTGGTTATGCTGTTAGCCACTTGACAAAATAGTGTTGTCTCTGAGGCATGGTAAAAACATGGTAGGCCTACTCCCGGTAAATCAGTAAAATCAGATTTAAACCATGAGACTAACAGTGTAGAGCTATATAACAAAGATTGGTTTTCTGTCAATTAATGTATTCAAACACTTTCTCACCTGTATAATAAAATGTATAGTATATTAAAGCATCTTTGGTGTTTCCATGGTTTCTACAAAACAAAACCTGAAATCGAGGGCAACACGAGTATGGCCTCATTGATAGGTGACACAATGACAAGGGTCAGGGCACTAGTTAAAATTGCTTATTTCTCTGGATTTAAACATTCTTGGAAACATTTTGGATATAATGCAAGTACACAAGTCAACAAAAAAATATAACATTGTTCTAGTGGTTTTTGGAAAACTGATGCATTTGTGACCAAAAATATTCATTTGCAACCTGCAAGTGATATTTTTGCTGAGATCACCACTGGCTAATATATAAATTTACATTATGACGTAAATTTGCACGTAACGCCTTTTTGCTGCTTTTTTTTGCAATCACATCTTTTGTTATGTTGACGTAATAAACTGAGACGATCTGCATCAACGTTTTAGTGAAGAAACACAAGCGCTGACGGGGAAAATGACGGAGACGTGTGAAGTGAAAGTGCAAAAAAGCAGGTTCTACTTTGCGCAACTTGTACAAAACAGGTAAAGCTGTCAGCTGTGTGGACATTAACAATATCATTAACAATTCTCATTTATATTCGATACTATGGCTCTTGTTATCAAGATCTTTAGTCTAAATGCTGTTTTCTGTTAATGCGTGAACTTCATATTATTTGTATAAGATGATAATAGCATATAATAATAGCAATAATGATGCAAATAATGATAATAGCATATAATAATAGCAAAAAACTGTGTGCTTTTTAATAAAGTACAATTCTGCCAAATTCATAACCAGAGGCGGACAGTAACTAAGTACATTTACAATAATAAAACAAAAATAAAAAAAGTGCGTTGACATAAAAAAAGGAAATTTACGTTTGGTACTTAAGTACTTTTAAAAGCAAGTACTTCTGTACTTTTACTTAAGTAAAAATCTGTCTTTACAAATTTTACTTGTAATGGAGTAATATTTGACCAGCAGTATCTGTACTTTCACTCAAGTAATAGAGTTGAGTACTTTGTCCGCCTCTGTTCATAACGAAATTCAAACAAAAAATACAGTTTTGGCGCTCATAAATGTAGCGTGAGCGATTGCTTTAGCGGCTCAATTCAAGCAGCATGTGAACACATCATATCTTTCTCTTTACTATATAGTACGAAATAAACATGAATGAACATCAAAGGTAATAAAGAGGAGCATTTTGCTATATTTATGCGCTATTGCATATTCATAGTTTTACTTAACCTGTTGTCTACATGATAAGAAATAATGCAAGGAGCTAAAGATAAAATTCAACACCTCCTACTGTATATAATTGCATGTTACTAATGAAGAAAAACAGACTGGATGTTTGCAAGACATATGACAACCTTTATAGGATGCATTGAATACGAGCCCAAACTACACTCAATGGCCAAGTGATGCTGACATAGTTATGGTCAATGATATTGGCACAGATTCTGTGTAATAAACAATTCTTGGAAGTTGGAAAAGACATTTAATTCCCACTTTAATTAAACTTTATTTCTCAATACATCTACAAAATGGATTAAAATGCTGATGCTGTAAAAAGAGGGGAGACATAAACACGACAGACTGAAATGTTAAGGTGTTTAAACATTTTTAAAAATAAAGCACGTTTATTCTGTGGCACTTAATAAATAATTAGGTGCCTATTTTTGTTTTCTATAGGAAACAATGGCTCCTTAAGTGATTTTTTTTTTTTTTTTTTATAAGTGTGGCTTAAATGTGTGAATACTCAGGGCTGCTGTATTTAATCTGTAGGAATATTGCAAGCTGTTTTCACTTTTATTCCTTCACAGCATATGAATTCTTGATATCAACAATTCAATTTTCACTAGTTAAAATAAAAATAAATAATAGACAAGAATGACTCCTAAGCGATTGAGGTCTTCTGTTGTTGGATGTAATAATGAACATAGCAGTCGTCGTTTACTCTCGAGATCTGAGCCGCTGAAGACGCAGTGGATTACGTTTGTTTCTGAAGGGAATGTGCCCCCGATCTAAATAAATGCGTTTATGTTCGCGCGAATCATTCGTGATCCAGCCTCATCTACAGAAGAAGCGAGTATAAGGGTTTTTTTATGAATCTTTGCAAATCACCTTTACTAATGCGCTAATTAGCAAGTTTCACGATGAATGCGGCTAAAGTAAAC